ATACGGGTTTTTCTTTATCTTAAAGACAGTTAACAAATAATTCAAATATAGTTTTTGATGTTTTGGATTAAGGTTGATTATTTACATACATGCAAAAAAAAAAATCACTTAGCCTAGGCAAAAAAAATGTTTCTTAGGTGTATTATTGAATTTGATGCTTTATGCACACCCACACACACGTGTATGTATGTTTGTGTGTACGTTTGTATGTATGTTTGCGTATATGTATATATACATAAATATATTAGTTTTTATGGGCTTAACAACAACAATTTAGGTCACTAGCGAGACAAAAACTTAGGGATATATCTTCGAGGTTCGTACACTTCGGGATTGATTAGAATGAATTCTTAGGGTGACCATACACAATAGTTATATCTATGTATATATGTATGTATATATTAATTAGGTCTGCATATATGCAGGATTATGGCTGTTTTTAATACTTCGCACTATTAAAAAAAAAAAAAAAAAAATCGAAAATATATATATATGTGTGTATATATATTCTAAAATATTAGTTCGATTTCAATTTTTGACAATTGAACCAACACAACAACAAGGATTTAGTTAAGGTACCCGGCCGCAACGATCTCCTCTTCCGTCTAGGCGGTCGCATGCGGATGATAGGCGGCGGTCCACGCATTGTGATAATGATGATGATGATGATTGTGGGCGTGCGCGTGCGCGTGGGCGTGGGCGTGGGCATGAGCATGGGCGACATGATGATGCGCATAGCCGTAGCCAGAGCCGCTGGCAAACTCGGCCGGATAGTTGCCGACGTAATCGGACTTCATGGGCCCCACAAGTCCGGAATATCCACCGTTCAGATTATTACAGCTGCTGCTGCTGCTGTCGCTGGCACCGCTCGCCAATCCGGACATGGTCAGGCCGTATTCTGAGGCCAGCTGCGATTCGCTCTGCATCGCCAGCGCCGCATAGTGCTGCGTATGGCTGTGGCTGGCGCTGCTGCTGCTGCTGTTGTTGGTGTTGTTGTTGGTGTTGCTGGTGCTGCTGCTGTTGCTGCTGGATAGAGTTGGTGCACTACCCGATGTGGGTCTGGCGTTCGCTGAGGTAGTTTGGTTATGTTCCATGGCACGATTATTACTATTGCTGTTGCTGCTGGCGCTGGCCGTGCACCAGGGCTCGTAGCTGCTGGCGCCGCTGCTGCTATTTGGATCACTCTGCTGGAATAGAGGCGGAAGAGGGGGTGGCAGACTGCTGGCTGCAACAGCTGCCGCTGCTGCTGCTGTCGCGTAGGGTGCATAGCCCAGGCTGTCCGGCTGCTCCTGCTTGAATTGCATGCTGCTGCTGCTGCTGCTGCCGCCGAGCATTGGCGCCGTGACGGCAGCCGCGGTGCTCTTCAGCGCCTTCTTGCTGCCGTTGAGCGCCTTCTCGGACTTCTCCTGCTTGATGGCCGCCGCCGCCTGTTCCTTGGCCTCGGCGGTCAGGGCCTTTTTCGTTTTCTTGTCCTTGAAGTGGGTCTTCTTGTGCTTGCTGAGGTGATCGCTGCGCGAGAACTTCTTGGAGCAGATGGGGCAGGCGTAGGGCCGGTAGTTGGTGTGGGTGCGTCCGTGGCGCTGCAGCTCGTCAGAGCGCGAGAAGCGCTTGCCGCACGTCAGACAGAGGAACGGACGCTCGCCCGTGTGCCATCGCAGATGGGTCTTCAGGTGTGAAGCCTTGCCGTAGAGCCGCTCACAGCCGGGAATATGGCAGATGTGCTGCTTGCGGCCGCGCTCATCGGGCCCGACGATGGGCGGCAAGCCGCTCATCTCGTTGGTGCAGTTGGGGCAGGTGCAGCGCACAGAGCGACGCTGGAGCTGTGTCTGGAAGGCGATGTCGTCGAAGTTGAAGCTCGGATAGCTCTGCGAGGACCACGGCTGGTAGAGGCGCTCCTGGTGCGAGAACCACGCGGCCGACGCCGATGCTGCAACGCCAACTGATGCCACATTTCCGTACGTTGCATATTGAGCATACGGAAATTGAGTTCTACGGCAAAAAGAGAAAAACAAAACGGAGGCAACAAATTAGAGCGTGTTAAACGTAGCCCAAAGAGGAGAGCGCGAAAGGGAATGATAGATGTATCGATGAATCAGGTGGATGAATGGATGAATGAACCTACCTGGTTGGTAGCGCTGTGTAGGCAGCCGTATTCCAGCTGTAGGCGCTAGCCACAGCCGCGGCGCCCAGGTCGGCGGCAGCGGCTGCGGCGACGGCTGCTGCGGCGGCCGAGGAGGAGCCACCGCCGGCTGCGGCTGGCGGACTAGTGGATATCGAGGCAAAGGACTGCGCTGGCGATGGGAAAATGCTGGGCGACACCGATGCAGAGGAAGCGGCCGATTGTGACAAACTGGAGTTGGGCGATGCACTGCCCGTGGATGATGCCTGTGGCGGATATTGCATTTCCAGCTTCATTGGCGGCACCGCCTGATGTGATGATGCGGTCGATGCAGAAACTGTCGGCGATGCATTTCCCTGCTTGCCGTAAAATGCTAGCGGAGAGGAGGCAGTCGAGTCACAGTTGGAGGCGGAGGTGGACGTCGAGGCAGACAGCAATGTGGCGCTAATGAAATCATGACTTGGTTGCTGTTGCTCCTGCTGCTGCTGCTGTTGATGTTGCTGTTGATGTTGTTGCTGCTGCTGCTGCTGATGCTGTTGTTGTTGTATTTGCAGTTGCTGCTGCTGTTGGAGCTGCTGCTGCTGCTGAATGCCTGTTGGCTGGGRCAGCGTATAGGGATTCAAATAATTGCAGGTGGCGTCAATCATGTTGGCAATTTTAATGGCTGCTGTCGTTATTGGTGTTGCTGATTTAGCTGACTGCTGATGTATTTTGCTTTGCTTTTCCTTTCTTTTGTTTTCCTTTTGCTGTTGTTTTTAGCAATTTTCGCACATTGCCGTTTATTGATTTTGTTTGCGGTCTTTGATTATTGTTATTAGACTGCCCTCGGTTTGCTTCTGATGCTGCCGATGCTGTTGCTGCTGTTGTTGTTATAATTATGGCACGCTTTTCACTTGTATTGTTTTATAGGGTGCACAAACAGCATATGCGTATGCGTATGCGTATGCGTTCAAATAATTATAGCCTTAACGCGTCGATCGCCAACTCTGCATTAATTTCTTTGCTGTTTGTGTTCTTGTTGCTGTAGCTAACGCAGCTACTGCTGCTGTTGCTGTTGCTGCTACTGCTAATACTGCTGGTGCTATTGCTACTGCTTGTTGCTGTTGTTGTTTTCTCTTTAATAATTGCACAGTGCGCTGACATCGAAGTCGCCGCTATAGTCAATAATAATTTGCGTTCAGAGGCAACCCACAAGTAACCGGGCACAACAAATTCGAATTTGGCTTCGTTATATTTCTCGTACACTCACTCACTGCTCACAATTGGTGAAACTGCTGTTGTTGTTGCTGTTGCTATTGCTGCAGCGTTCGTATTTTTGGTTGATAGGCGAGAAACGCGAGCGCGGGCTTCGTATGCTTGTTTTGGTCAGTTCGGTCTCAGTCGCAGCGCTCGAGATACAACCACCGGTAATTATCGTTGTCGACTGAATTCAAAACGCAGCGAGAGAGTCTAACAACGTACAAAACGAATCAGTGATGACGGCAGCAGGCAGCGACGGCGACGCCGGCAGCGAATCGTGCTGTGCTCTTTTAGCAGCAGCAACGTGCGCCTTCAGCATGCTTGGTGGTTGTTTCCTCCGCGCTTGCCCGCTGTATGCATCGACAAAACGTTCATTCGGCTCTTTGTCTCGCTCGCTCACACGCGCGCTCATTAGCTCGCTCCCATTCGCGCGCATACTCTTCTCCAGTGTGTGCGCGTATTAATGTGTGTATGTGTATGCGTGTGTGCGCGCGCACATTTGTATGTGTTCATGTGCAATGCAATGCGTTGTTGTTCTTGTTGTTGCCAGCTCTACCAGCGCCCGTATAGGCGTTTTGTTTTAATTTCTATGTGTGGGTTTGTGTGTCAAAGCAATTGGGCGAGCCTTACTCATAAGTATTTTTGCTTGAAACGCGCATACGGCTGCGGCTGCGGCTACGGCTTTACCCTGATTCTTAGGCATGATGCTACATATCAGTATGTAGGTAAAGGGAACATTTAATACATATCCATGCTCATACATTCTTAAAGTTTGTTGATTATTTTTTGCGTTTTTATTTTGTATATTTATACATATGTATGTATGTCTAGGCATATCGATAAGCTTGAGAAAATCACAAGCATAACTTATATGCATGTATGTACACACTAGCAGACACACATACACACCAAATGTTTATGTATAAATAATTAAGCGAAAAATATAAATATTAAGTAATATTAAGTAAATAATATTAATTAAAAAAAGTACTTGTATATTTCTTTTATTTTAACAATTAAAGTCACTTATCTAATATTTATTCGAATTTGGAAATTACTATTTCAATTTTAACCATCTCAAATTAATAATTTTTACAATTACAATACAAATTACTTCGTTTATGTTACATAAAATTAACAAAAATGCTTAAAGAGGCAAAAATCTTTAATAAAAAAAAATAAAAAAGAAAAAAAAAAACATGTATTCATACATACACAAGTCGCCGTGTAAAAGCCCAAGGGAAAAGTCTCAATGCGGCGCGCATAATTCAAATATCAATACAATAACAATAAAATCTAATAAATTTGTGGTCGCGGCCCAATGAAATAACTGTATTTAAAGGGGCGTTGCCCAAACACCACCACGGAGCACCACAGCGACAAGAACAACGACGACGAAGTCGGCTGAGCTGCTTTCGCGCTCTTGCTCTAACTGCCCTTAACACACTCTCGTCTGCTATGTGTGTGTGCGTGTGTGTATATATGCGTATGCGTGTGCATTGGTTTCTTTGAAGGCGCAGCAGGCTGTGTTGTGTATGTATTTGTGTTAGCCAGCAACTACAAACTGTGCCAGATTAAATTATTATAATTATTTTCATTATTTTTATT